TCTCCCCACATTGGACTTTTCAGAACTGAATCATAAGCCGGAGTTTAGCAGTGAAATTGATAAAAGTGCAGAAAACAGGAAGTGGTAATTTGGTGGATGTGGAAATGTTTCACCATCTCGTCCCGCCATGGAAATGAATAGCTGCACCATTCTAGCGCCACCCTCCATGTGGATTCATACAGTGCACGGGGCCCCCAATCTCACACAATGAAACCCACCAAAGGAAAGTGCAAATCAATGCGACGTGATAAGTCCCTTTGTTCATGTTGCTGTCTTCACCCTCAGAATGTGACGGCAGATTCTTTGGTCATTGTACGCGGTGTTCCCCGTATTTGGTTGATGGGTTTCGGGAACAACCCCCCCGCTCCATGCCAAGTCAGGGCCTGGGGGGGGGGGCCATTTCTAGATTAGTCAGCAGTTTTTCCGACCCCCTTCATGAACATGGTCGGAGAATACAGAAGTCCAGCTCCTGAGGTTTTCTCTTTAACTTGCAATGCTCTCTGGGTAACGTTACTCCGCCGCCGGCACTGCACCTCATCGGCCGCCTCTTGAACCCCCTGCCGCAGGTCTTTGAACAGCTCGTCCACTCTCCAGCCTCCCACATGGGACATGGGTCACCGCAGGTTCTTACCACCGGTGGCCGCAGTGAGGTTGGGCAGTCAGACGCCAGATGTTCCCAGGGGTCACGGCATCCCACTATCCGGGTCTGCTGCCCATTGCCGCAGGTAACCGAACATTCTCCCCAGCTGCCAATGGTCCATTGGGACTGTGGTCTGGGCCGAGGAGGGGGGGGCGGCAGGGCAGCCAGGCTGTTACTTATTATTTGTCCGGCAGAGTTGTCTCTCTTTTCTCGGGGGATGTAGAAGGTGTAGCGGAGGCGGGGAGGGGTCATCTTGCCAACACATAATACTTCTATAGTCAGTGGTTCTTGTATCACGTTGATTGCTTGTAAGGCCTCCACGGCCGTCCCGGTGCCGCTGTACTTCAGCAGGCTGCCGCGTAGGGGAAGGTCACGCTCCACCGCAGACACAATGTAATTCCCATTCAGCAAATAGCGGCCCTGCAAGTTCTTCACCGCCAAGTAATTGTCATCGTTGATTAGACCTTTGTAGCCACGTTGTCTGACGTCTAGATTACTGGCACCGGCCGGAACAGTGACCACAAAGTTGTAGCCGTGTCTGGGGAGAGAACACAAGAAATTACCACCAGAAACCATCTAATATATCAGACAACCCGGGGGGAGGGAACGGAGAATCTGATTGGCTGCCCCGTGTACCAAAAAAAGGTTTTTCTTCTCAAATCACATTCAGAACACGATCTCTATAGAATATCTATTGTAAAAGTGAACTAATATTTAGGATGTATCCGGTCTATAAATGGCGGCTCTGGATGGACAGTTGGATAAATGGCTCTATATTTAGGATGTACCTGGTCTATAAATGGCGGCTCTGGGTGGACAGTTGGATAAATGGCTCTATATTTAGGATGTGTCGGGTCTATAAATGGCGGCTCTGGATGGACAGTTGGATAAATGGCTCTATATTTAGGATGTATCCGGTCTATAAATGGCGGCTCTGGATGGACAGTTGGATAAATGGCTCTATATTTAGGATGTATCCGGTCTATAAATGGCGGCTCTGGATGGACAGTTGGATAAATGGCTCTATATTTAGGATGTATCCGGTCTATAAATGGCGGCTCTGGATGGACAGTTGGATAAATGGCTCTATATTTAGGATGTATCCGGTCTATAAATGGCGGCTCTGGATGGACAGTTGGATAAATGGCTCTATATTTAGGATGTATCCGGTCTATAAATGGCGGCTCTGGATGGACAGTTGGATAAATGGCTCTATATTTAGGATGTATCCGGTCTATAAATGGCGGCTCTGGATGGACAGTTGGATAAATGGCTCTATATTTAGGATGTATCCGGTCTATAAATGGCGGCTCTGGATGGACAGTTGGATAAATGGCTCTATATTTAGGATGTATCTGGTCTATAAATGGCGGCTCTGGATGGACAGTTGGATAAATGGCTCTATATTTAGGATGTATCTGGTCTATAAATGGCGGCTCTGGAGGGACAGTTGGATAAATGGCTCTATATTTAGGATGTATCTGGTCTATAAATGGCGGCTCTGGAGGGACAGTTGGATAAATGGCTCTATATTTAGGATGTATCTGGTCTATAAATGGCGGCTCTGGGTGGACAGTTGGATAAATGGCTCTATATTTAGGATGTATCTGGTCTATAAATGGCGGCTCTGGGGGGACAGTTGGATAAATGGCTCTATATTTAGGATGTATCTGGTCTATAAATGGCGGCTCTGGGTGGACAGTTGGATAAATGGCTCTATATTTAGGGTGTATCCGGTCTATAAATGGCGGCTCTGGAGGGACAGTTGGATAAATGGCTCTATATTTAGGATGTATCTGGTCTATAAATGGCGGCTCTGGATGGACAGTTGGATAAATGGTTTATTTTAGGTATGCAATATTCTTGGATTGCTGGGGAGTAGATGTGCACTGTGTATGTGTGCTCAGCATCCACCAACCCGCAGCCAGGAGGTCTCACTGCACCTCAGACAGCCATGTAACATTTCCTCATCTCTAATCAGAGTATTTCTGTGCCAGTGCGGATGGATCTGTGGGGGGGGGGGGAGGGGAATGGGTCTTCTCCGGCTCCCACCGGCACTCACATGGGTTTAGTGAAGAGTCCGGACACCTTCTTGCAGCTTTTATTGTCCCCACCGCACACCCGGCATTTGTCGAATTTCTTCTTGGAGCCGAGCTGCCCATCACAGCCCGCTTTAATGCACTTTCCCTGCACACAGACTGAAGTTGAATCTGGCGCACACACCGTCCCATCTATGACCTGGATGGAGGAAACATCAGCGTTACAATGGAACCGGCCGGGAAATACACAGCAGCCAGGACAGAGCACGCGGAGGATACGATTCCGGAAACATTCATTCTTTATACATTTCACGAACATTTCACAGTCTCTTCCATCTATTGAGGAGTTCCCGGGTCTGTACACCCGCTGTGCCCATTATG